GAAAAAGAAAAATGTAGTACTATCAGCGATTAGGAGAGCAAGTATCACTGGTAAACATCACACATGATGTGAGGTTGATTTGACTTATCCAATACTGTAAAATTTCAAAGTGTCAGAGATACCTGGTTTCCAAAGTATCATCCCTAGGCCAGCAGCATCAGCATCACCTGGGAACTTGTTAGAGATGCATATTCTTCGTCTCTACTCTAAACCTATAGAATCAGAAGATCCAGGGCAACATTTCAGCAGTCTGCTTTTCCGTTTCTCCAGGATTATTCTGATGCCACTAAAGTTTGAGAATCACTAATCTAGACAGAACTACGCTAGTTAAAAGTATGTTCTGTGAACCAGCAGCATGGGCATCACTAGGAGCTTGCTGGAATCACAGAATTTCAGGCTCCATCTAGATTTACTGAGCAAGAATCTGAATTTTAACCAGGTCTCCAGGTGACTTGTATGCCCATTAAAGTCTGAGAAGTGCTATACTTGTTCCATGGTTCCTGTCACGAGCAGATTTGTGTCCGCAATTCTCCAAATTTATATATGTTCAAGTTCTAACCCCAAGGATCTCAGAATGTGACTGTATTAAAATGAGGTCCTTAGGTTGGGCCCTAATCCAATATTACTGTGCCCTATATTATAATAACAGATTAGATGGGGCCGGCACTGTGGCGCAGTGGGTTAAAGCCCTGGCCTGAAGCGCCGGCATCCCATATGGGCACCGGTTCGAGTCCCAGCTGCTCCTCTTCCAATACAGCTCTCTACTATGGCCTGGGATAGCAGTTGAAGATGGCCCAGGTCCTTGGACCCCTGTACCCACATGGGAGACCCAGAAGAAGCTCCTGGCTCAGCACAGCTCCAGCCTGTTGTGGCCATCTGGGGAGTGAACCAGCGGATGGAAGACCATTCTCACCTCTCTCTCTCTCTGCCTCTCTGTAATTCTTTCAAATAAATAATAAAATAATAAAAAAACAGATTAGATATGCACAGAGGAAAGACTATGTGAAATGATACAGAGAGAAGACAGCCACGTGCAAGTCAAAGGGAAAGGCCTCAGAAGAAACTAAACCTACTGATACCTTAATCTCAGACTGCCAGCCTCCAGAATTTGGAGAAAATAAAAGGTAAAATAAATGTGTTAGTTCATCAGTCTTTCATGCTTTGTATAACACTCTTAGCAAATCAATGCAGTTTCCAAACCAGGTGCATGTTGGAACAGTCCAGAGAGGTTTAGAGATATTGAAACATAGGTCCCATTCCCAGAGGTACCAATTTAAGTGACCTGAGAATCAGCCCACAAATTTGCATTTTAAAAAGCTCTCCAGGTATTTTTAATGTGTAAACAAAGTTGAAAACTGCAGATAATCTACTCCTTTTTATTTTTATCTTTATTTTTTTATTTTATTTAAGGTATATAAGTTTCATGTATTTCATATATACAGATTTAGGAACATATCTAAATTTCACCAACTACATTTCAGTGTCTTGATACTTGCTTATCTAATTTTCTACCTTGATGTCCCCAAATCTGGCTCCTTATGCAACTATTTAAATAGAGGACTCCTACTGGGAAAGAGTCAAGAATCAAAGCTGGAATGGGCATTGTGGCACAGTGGGTTATGCCACCACCTACAATGCCCGTATTCCCTGTTTTAGTGCCTGATTTGAGTCCTGACTCCTATGTTTCTGATCCAGCTTCCTGCTAATGCACCTTGGAGGGAGGAGATGATGGCTGAAGTGCTTGGGCCCCTGCCACCCACACAAGAGACAATGCTGAGTTCCTGGTTCCTGGCTTCTACCTGGCCCAGCCCTGGCTGTTGTGGGCATTTGGGGAATTAACTAGCAGATGGAAGATATTTTTTAATTTTTTCTTTTCTTTTATTATCTCTCTCTTTCGAACTAAATGAAAATAATAAATAAATATATGGGTAACTTAAAAAAATCAAAGCTGACTATAATACACTCTCTTCTACTCACCTGTCAAATTTTAAGTTTTTGTGTGTATGCATGCACGTGCTATATGCCAGAAAACACTGTGAATATTTATTTCCATATTTATTTTGATAGTGCATCCTCCACAGTAAAGCTATGAAGAAGGTCACAAAAGGAAAATCTGTTGACCTAAATTGTCAGTACCCACTACCTCCCCCTAGGTTCTTTGTGTCACTCTTATTATGTTACCCTCAGGACTCCTGGGATCCAAATTAAAGACTCTTAGAGTTTTGTAAATCAGCATTTCAGGGAATACATACCAAACCACTAATCAGTTTTCTCTTGCCTTGTGCACTTTTTCCATGTCCTTGTGAAATTTTGACACTCCCA